TTTGTTCCTATGACAGTCCATGGTATAATCAATATTCCATGTCTGCAAGAGAATTTAATTTGGTTTTTGTTTGTTAGTGTTCTCCTCTTCCTCTCCCAGTCTTCTCATGAACTGTTCAGGTTTTACACGCATATGAGGTAAATCAGAATGTCTTGGCTTGGTTTCGATCAGAATCACTGAAATGTAAAAGAGATTTTTTCCTGTATGTTTTCTTAGTGTACAGATGTTTTTGGTAATAGTGTTTTTTGTTTGTTTGCTTCTCTTTTATTCTGGATGGCAATTACATTCCTTAAAACTGCAGCTCATTTCTCTCAATTCTAGTTTAGCTTAGAGCATTTAGTCTGTTTAATGTAACCATAGGTAGCTTGCTTTGCTGGTGTGGTCTCCAGGGAAATGTGATGTGAACCCAACAGCCAAGACTCTTGGGCAGTGTGAATCTACCAGTCATTCTGCAGAGAGGAGAGGAGCAATCTCTTCCAGTGTTTCGTGCCTTTAGTGCCTTCGAGTGAGTTGGATACAACCTGACATCAATGAATAAGTGGATGTAACATTAAAATGCTTTTACAGGTAGTTTAGATGTTGTTGTTGTTGTTGTTGCTGGTATGTGCTGTCACGTTGCCTCCAACTCACAGTGACCCTATGTACAACAGCCCTAAAACTTTTTCTATCCTGTGCCAATCTTACTGTCTCTAACACACCTACTTCCATTACTCCAGTCACTGAATCAACCATCTATCTCATCGAGGGTCTTCTTCTCCTGCACTATCTCTCCACCCTCCCAAGCATGATGTCCCTCTCCAAGGATTGGTCCCTCCTCGGAACTTGTCCAAACTATGTCAAACAAAGTTTCATAATCATTGCCTTCAAAGAGCAGCCTGATTTCACCCTCTCTAAAGATGAAACTGTTTGTTCTCCTAGCAGTCCATGGTATGGTATATTCAATACTCTTCTCCAGCACCACAGCTCAAAGGCATCAATTCTCCTTCTATCATCTGTCATCACTGTCTCAATTTTGTAATGCTATGTTCCCGTTAAAATGCAGCAATTTGAACAAAACATACTAGTTTTAGGTGCTGTTCCGTCAGCACGTAAAATCGGATTCACAGAGGCCTAATGTGGAACAAAATGAAACCCTCCCCTGCCCCTAACATCCTTTACTGTGCTTGAGCCCATGGTAACAGCCACTGCATAGCAAGTGATTGCAAAACCGTGGCCTTTATTGTGGAATAAAATGAAACCCTCCTCTGCCCCTAACATCCTTTACTGTGCTTGAGCCCATGGTAACAGCCACTGCATAGCAAGTGATTGCAAAACCGTGGCCTTTATCAGGTGCCCCTTTAGACTGATAATATCTCCAGACTGATATTATTCATCTTCAGTATTTTGGAGAGGTCTCTGATGGCAGACTTTTCCAATGCAATTGTTGTTGTTGTTGATTACCCCAACTTGAGCACAACTCATAGTGACTCTATGAACAATATGTGTTTTAGTTTCCTGTCTGCTGGTACCAAGAGTGTTGATTGTGGAGCCAAGCAAACGAAAGCTGTCAGCAGTCTCAATCTCTCCACCTATTGTCCCAGTGGTCAGAATCTTGTTTTGATATTAAGACATCAATGAATAAGTGGACACAACATTAAAATGTTTTTACAGGAGGTTTAGATGTACCTGTTTAATTTCTACACACCATTATGTGTTATTTTAACAATAGGAAAAAATGTTACAATCTAAAATGTATACAGTTCAAATACATCAGCTGCTCCATGGGAGAGGATAGGCAATCTCCTCCCATGAGATTTACTGCCACAGAAAACTTGCTGGAAGGTCACCTGGGGGTCGGTTCTCACTCTAAAGTACACAACAACTACACCAAAATAAATTCTTTTATAAGAAATGTTTGTAATATCTAGATGAATAATCAGAAAAATTATAACAAGTAATATTATAAGAACTGTTTTTACCTTTGCATTATAGGGAATGTAATGTTTTGATAATGCTTCCGGTGTATGCATCCATGTTTTATCTGCAATGAAGAATACACAATATTAAATAAAGTCACAGGCTTCAAGGTGTCATTACGCATTAGCATTTTAGAGAATACAGAATGAGTAGGAATACTTCCAATTCTGAGATTCTTTTGATAAGCTGAAAAACTAGACACACAGAAGATCAATATAGCTAGAGAGGACTAGGGATTCCTTCAGTGAGGTAAATGTCCCTGTTTTCCTTCTGAAAGATTTTAAAATTGAATAACTAGCAATATGTATCAAATAGAATAATAATATAATAGTATTGGTCAAGTAGTCTAATATTTATTTTAATAATATTAATTTTTAAATATAGCAATGAGTATTAAAAAAATCTTTATGATCTCATTAATTAGAAGGTGGTGGTGTTGTTAATTCTCTTATCAACAAATATTAATCTGTCCTTTACTTATTTTTATTGTTAATGTTTCTAGAAGACAGAATTAAGCAGTTATTAAAAGAAAATATTAACATTAGCTAACAATTACTGTTGTATAAAGTTGAAATTACAGTAGCTGCTTATTTACAAATCAATCTGGTAACAGCATAAGTGTTTTATTCTAAATTTAGACAAATTGACTGAGAGGCTACGATCAAGAGTTGTTGCTAGAAATATTCTTAAATAAAGGATGGGTAATTTCCCTCCATGAGATTAATTGCCTCTGAAAACCTGCCAGGGTGTCAGCTATGGATGAGTTTTGACTCAATAGTACACAACAACAACATGATCATTTTAAATATTCATAGACAATTACAATAAAGTATTAAAATCAAAAGAAAGTCAACCTGAGAAAAATGTATAGTATTACTAGAAATACAGAATACATTTCCCAGTTCATTCTTTTATTCCTTTCTTTTCCATTCCATTTGTTTCATCTATCATCTCAAACATTTTGTGAAATACACAGGGAAGCAAAGCAAAATACAATTTACATACAAATCAAACAAACTTTTATTTTTGTGACATTTATTTGGGGTAATATTTCTGAATCTTCAAGTATATTATCTTCTTTAGTGTAATTTTGTATGTAGTTCTTTGTATTTTGTTTTATAGGGGTTAGTAAATTTAGACTGACAACTATACTACCAAAGACTAAATTTATTTTCAAATAAATTAGGTAAACATGAGATAAAATTTTGGATCATTAACCAACCTTTCTTAGCATTCAACTCAAAACATTTAAAAATTATGTTAGAGAAATTAATTTGACAGTTTTAATTTGCTGTTTTCAAACAAAGAATGTGTAGACATAAAAAATATAATTGAGATATATTTCTGAAATGCCAGTTTTATTTTTACAGTTTAAAGGACAAGGTACTGTATTTTTAGTGACTTACTATTACTGCAAAAACTTGGTTTAAAATGTGAAAATTACAAGAAACAGTAACATTGACGTTTAATTATGTAAAATCTTAATGCCTGTATTAACTTGCAATTTGCTCCTTAGAGTAACATGGTAAAATCACCTGCTTTAGGTTTAGAAAATGTAAAACTAAATGTTGTTGGATAATTAGATTTTGTTTGAATCAAATTTCCTTATAATGGGAAGTAATATGTAATTATTGGATTTTAGGTACTGTGCATTTTTATGTTATCTACTTGATATATCTACAGATTAGTTAAATAAAAGATAGTATAAATAGTTGAATTATTCACTCACATATATATCATGCTTTAGGCTTTTTTATTAAAAGATATAAATGGATGGTGATATGATTAAGAATAATATATTTAGATTTGGCATGTAATCTTGTCTTTGAAAGAAGTAAATCACAACATTGTGTATAAAGGTAAGTAAAAAATCCAAAGCTCTACCTTAAAGAGCAGATATACAATTTACCTTTTTACCCCTTAACTCAATTCTTTGCTTATACCTCTAAAACAATTATCACTTCTCAGTAAGATGCAAAACCCGAATATAATGTTTTCTAGTAGTCTTGAGGCAGAGAGATAATGGCTTTCTCTTGCATGTCATTATTATTTGAAAGCTCATAATATTGGTTGTTATTAAGCCTGATAGCAATGACCTAGAAAGGAGGTCTATACAGCTGTTCTTTGTGACAGACTGACATAATCACAAGACTAAGTTACCAGTGAATATGCTGTCATTTCTCAAGTACAAAAATATGCAACTGCAGTATATTATTAAGTGCCAATGTTTTAGTGTTTTGTTCTTTGCACAACCTCTAGTGTAGGCAGCACACTTAAAAACATAAAGGGCTCACAAAGTCAGTCTTTGCTCTCCTTCCAACTCAAAATCTGGCAAAAGAAAAAACAGAGACAGAATAAAGCCCTTTATACTAGTTCATATAAATATAAATACAAGTGAGCCTTGAAGAAAGAACACAGATCATTGTCTTTTGCCACTGTAAAAACTTACAGAAGCAAGAAAGTATTGGAAGTATGGCAAAAATAGAAATTTAGATATTCTAGAGTTCGTTCTTTTTTCTTGAAATTAAATCCTAATCACTAATTCAGTACTAAATACTCATATGAAATGACAATATTAGTTTGCACTTTCAAAATACATTTAAAGTGAAAGTTTATCAAGGAGAATGAAGAAATTTCATTATTCTCATAGCAGCAGAGCACAGCATAGTGAAAGCATCTACGTTGAATGTAGAAAACTTAAAACTATAGGTTACTGGACGATTCAATTTAATTTTAATCAATTTAAGATATAAACAATAAAATTTAGGCAATGTGTATTATGATGGTAATTGTGTATGTCTACAGATAGCTGAAAAAAGAAGCAGCATGATTAATTGAATTATCTAAACACATATACTGACATTATGTTTTAGGCTCATTGATTAAAGCAATTTGTTGGGGCTTTTTTCATACAAGTATAAAAAATTTTTTAAATTCAACAAGAAAACTAGTCTATGGAAAGGCACAAGACAAATACATTTATTAATATTTAATCTATAATTTTATAGTGGTGGTTGTTGT